GCGAAACACTGATGTTGAGAAGGCAAACTGCTCTGATGACTGGCAAGCACGTCCTCTGACGTTCAGACGGGTTTAATGCTCCGCTCCAAACCAAACTAAAGACCTACTCAGGATTATTCAAACTAACCTTTAATGACAGACCTCTAGGCTATGTTTGGATATAATTTTAAAAGTTCAAAGAATTGAAAGACATTGCTGAAATAAAATCTGTTCCATTTCCAGCTACACTTTATTTTATATTTTTAAAAACAAGTCTTTTCAGTGTCAGTTTCTAAAATGAGGAATAACATTAATTATGGCCTCTGTCTCATCCTAGCAACAAGTGTTATTCATTCATGAAGAGATGGACTAATTAGGAAAAACAAACTAATCCTGTCCATTTCATTGAGAAATAATTTTCTGGTAGAATTTGTATGTTTATCAACATTTTAAGTGTATTTGATTTTTTTGATTAATTGTGTACTAAATGAGAAGTATGATGACATTTTATCATAAGAAAAAAAATTTGAACTTGCATGGTCCCAGGAAATTAAAAGTTAATGCCAAATTACACCTTTTTTCATTTAATCATGAGATAGGCTTATTTGGCAAAATTGTTTCACATATATTTTTTATATTAGGGTATAATTCTCTGGGGAAAATGAAACAAAAATACGACTTGAAGGAATATTCTAAAAAAAGATACACGTGGGCAATTATGTTTTTGAATGGACCATGGTGAGTATCAATTTCTTCTTGGATTTATATTTCATTGGAAACATTTAAAAGAATGGAGTAATAATTTTATTTAGATGTTCAATATTTATAACTCGCTGGAAATCCCATCTAGGAAATAAAATTTTGATAAAAAAATATAGATGTCAACTTAAGTAGGATGTGCACAGTCTTTTGAAACTATTTTAGGAAATAGATGAACAAAAAAGGTTGAAGACTAGGTCATAAGCATCACCCATAATGATTTAAAAGTGAGATTTCAAGTGAGATTAATTACCCATAGGCTGGGGTTGTGGACAGCATCATTAGGAAGAACAACTGACTTGCCCCTGATGGTAGATGGGGCTTGAGGTTGGGGATGATAGAACCTGCAGAGTGCAGTGTGAGGACTGGCAGAGCCCAAGCCCTCACTCTAGTCCTCAGCACCTGGGAAGCAGGTGAGGCGTGTATGGCAGCAGGGGAGTAGGGTTGGCTGCGTGGGATTTCGTAAGGTTCTGTTCATGTGCTTCCTCCTACTGTCCCTTCTGGGTTCAAAGCCCAGTAGCCCACAGCAATTACCTTTCTCCTTGGTACTGTTTAGTTTATCTGCCTTTCCTGACTCACTTTTCCCTGCTGCCCCAGTCAGGATTCCTGAGATCATCTCCCACATAAAGTGTCTGTGCTCCATTTCTATCTCTAAAGGTCTGCATTTGGGCCATCCAAACCAAGACAGGCACCAAAAGTTACTTTCTTAAACAGAACGAATTTAATTCCAATTCCCTTTAAAATGCACTTATTGAATGCATGCCAGGTTGGCTCTAGGGATACTCGATAAATATTTATTGATTAATTAATTGTATGGATTAGCCAGGATTGTCATCTGATCTTTTTTTTCTACTGAGTATACATAAAGAGATTTGGGAAAATCTGACCTTGGAGAAATTAATGTTTACAAGTGACAATATGTGAGTTGAGAAGCTGATCTGTCAAAAGTCAGGAAGCAAGTGCACAAACAGAATAAAAGTTGAGTATTTGATGCAATTCATTTGGAATAACTGTAACTTTCCAGCAAACATTCTTCCTTCCTATGAAATGTGCTGCTGTTTTCTCATAGTAACTGGGAACCATAAAATAGTCCATGTGTAGTGTCTGGTTTTAAAACAGCAGTGAAGCTTTATTTGTAAGGGCAAAGAAGAACCACGTTCCATTCTGGAGTTAATAGGAAATAAGCAAGTTCCCTCCCCTAATGTTCATACTGGCTCATGCAAATGCTGGTAATGCAGTTATGTAAATGTCTAGCTGAGTTGTGGAGTGCTGCCTTTAGTGTTGAACTGTGAAATTATAAAACATCTAATTAGCATATTAATTCTTTTACTAGTGGTCTAAATGTTATAAAGAAGGCTCTACAGAGAAATGTTTAAAATATAGCCTTGGCTGTGGGAATATACAGCCTACTGAGTGTTTGGCCTTGAGCTTTGAGCAGAGGGGTATGTTTATAGGTATAATTGGAAAACACCCAAATGCGAGAGAAATAGTGTGTTAGTAACTCTAGTAAGTTATTTACAAGTTTACAAGTAGAGCCAGAGGGCCTGGAGGGGGCCGAGTCTCAAACCTCTCTTGCATGGTTCCTTCACATGTGTGACCTTGAATGAGCTGTGTCCTCGTCTTTCCATCAGAGAAGATGGGGCCCATTTGTGGCACTTAGAGTCATCACTGGGGTATTGGTGTCAGCTGGTTGGCTTTTTGATGCTCAAAAATGACTGGATCAGTTTTTTTCTTCACCACAACATTGCAGCATTTTAATAAGGAACAGATGGGGTCAGAAAGAAAAAGAGAAAATGGTAAGGCAGTGCTGGCTGCTTATGTCTGGGCTGGAAAGAAGCTCAAGTATCATCTAGCATTTAAAAACCATTATTGGGCTCTTACTGTGTGCTAGGCATTGTGCTAGACACTTTAAAGGGATGACCTCACTCCATTGTGTCATCAGTCTGCAAGGCGGGCAGAATGGTCTACATCTCATAGATGAAGAAGCAGGCTCCAGAGGTGGCCAGCGTTTTAGACAAGAAGTCAAACAGCAAAGATTTGTTATGATTTCTTTTAGCATCTTTTGCTTAATTTTTATCAGATATCTTTATTAATTGATATATAGCTCCAGTATGCATTTTGAGTTTATTTTATTGTGGGAAGAACACTTAGCAGGAGACCTAAGTAGTGAGATTTTGAGTGGACAGTACAGTGTTGTCCACCAGGTCTCTGGAACTTACTCATCTTGTTGATCTAAAACTCTGTGTCCTGAGATTAGTAACTCTTCATTTTTCCACCCCCTTCACCTCTGACAACCATTGTTCCTTCTACTCTGTTTCTGTGAATTTGGCTGTCTTAGATACCTCATATAAATGGGACCAGGCAGCATTTGTCTTTCTGTGAATGGCTTATTTCTCTTAAACTAATGTCCTCAAGGTTCAGCCATGTTTTCAGACTGCAGAATTTCCGAGTTTCCTATGGCTAAATAATATTCCAGGGCATGTATATGCTACATTTTCTTTATTCACGTGTCTCTCATGGACACTTGGGTTGTTTTCATATCTTGGCTCTAGTGAACAGTGGTCCAGTGAGCATAGGGGTGCCAATATGTCTTTGAGGTCCTGATTTTAATTCTTTTGAATAAATACCCAGAAGTAGAATTGCTGGCCCATGTGGTAATTCTATTTTTAATTTTTGAGGAGTCTTTATACATTTTTCTATAGTGACCACACAATTTTTCACTCCCACCAACAGAATGCAAGAGTTTCAGTTTCTCCACATTTTTGCCAATATTGCTCTTTTTTGGATAACAGCCATCCCAACAGGTGCAAAATGATATCAAGTCTTGATTTGTATTTCTCTGACGATTAGTGGTGTTGAGCATTTTTTCCTATTTCTGTTGGCCATTCGTATGTCTTCTTTGGAGAAATGTGTATTAAGTCCTTAGTCTGTTTTAGAAATCAGGTTAGTTTTATATTATTGTGATATTGTGGCTCAGAGGGTTGGGTATCATCCCACAGACTGAAAGGTGGTGGGTTCCATTCTCAGTTAGGGCACATGCCTATGTAGCAGATTCAGTCCACAGTCAGGGCGTATTTGAGAGGGGATCAATCGATGTTCCTCTCTCACATTGATGACTCTGTCTCTCTGTCTCTCTCCCCTCCTCTCTCTCCCACCCTCTCTTTCTCCCCTTCTCTCTCTCCCTCCCTCACTCTATCTCTGCCTCTGTCTCTGTCTCTCTATTCCCATCTCTCTAAAATCAATAAGCATGTTCTTGGGTGAAGAATAAAAAAAAAAAAAGAAAATTGGAACCTAATTTCAAAAGTAAAACAAAACATCTCAGATCCAAAGGTAGGAGCAAGTCCATAAAACTATATAACAAAACAGAAGTAAAACATAATAATCTTTAATTGGCAAAACCTTCTTAAACATGAAGTCAAAAGCAAAAGCGAGAAAGAAATCAAACTCTACCTTAACCCAAACCCTAACACCAAACCCAACCATAAGCTCTAACATTAAGCCATATACTCAGCCCTAGCCCCAGCCCAAACCTGCACCCCCAACTCTAACCCTAACTCTGACCCTGGTCCCTACACTAACCCCAAATCTAATCCTAACCTGAATCCAAACCCCAAACTGGACTCTGACACTAACCTCAAACCTGAACCTGAACTTAAACTTGACCCCTCACCTGAAGACCAAATAGACTGACACAGACACTGCTGCTATTCTGCATGCTTAGGATGCACCCCTTAAGGGAACAGGTAACACTGAGAAGCCCTTCCATCTGTCTCTGCCCAGAGGAGGTCCCTAGGTCTCGAGCATCCACCTTGTGGTCCCTTTGTTCTTTTGATCTTGAATTTTCAAAGCCCCAGTTTGCCTGTATGCTCAACAGTCCTCATGAAAAATGGTGTTTATCTCTCAGTGTCCCTGCTCTACCTCACTGTAGGTAAATAATTATTGCAAGTTTGAAGGCATTTCTGAATTGATATATACATCTAAAGAATTTAGGTTTAAAAAACTAAACCAAAAGTATTTCTGACATACTAAAGTGTAGAGTACAATTTAACACACACATATATTTCATCACCTAACTCAGAGTTATAATGAACTTACACTCAAAAGAAAACACTGCCCTTTGGTTGGTTTATCAATTTTTATAATTTTATGATTTCATAAAGTTTCCAATATTACAAAACACCATACATTACATATGTTATTGTTTTAAAGCTTCAATCACATATAACAGTATTATTCTAAACACTAAATGTTACATGTAATGTCTAAAAAGTTTCATAACTGGACAATGCATTGATTTTACTTCCTGTTAACTCAGCACAATGGGGACTAAACATATCCCTCAAACCATTGATAACCTTGTGACTCTGGACACATATAAATGAATCTTGTTGTGAAGACAAATGCTGAGGAGTGTTCATAGGATCATTTAATTTACTTTCATGAAAGAAAATTCTGGTCCTTCTATTCATGAAATTCACTCTGGAAATCCTGTTCTCATTTTTCATCAGTACAAAAGGACAGATGGTCGGGTAACATGAAGAAATAAAGGCATTAACGTTCTCCAGTTGCCAATTCCTCTTATTTCCAAACTGTGGATAAGCAGTAAGAAAGCTGTTGGTCCAGTAAAAAGAAAAATGAAACAGCAAACCAGCATGAGGATGACGTGGGTGGCTCTGTGCTCAGGAGAGCTTCGTGAGGAGTGGACGCTACTGCGGACGAGCCGAGCTACTCTGTGGTGTCTGGAAAGGACGGTCACCATGTAGACACTACTGCACGCCATTAGGGAGAGAAAGAGCACATCCTGAATGAGCACTATACTGAGAATTGTCACAGCCACCTGGTGATCATATGTACTGACCTTGCAAAAAGGACCATAATACCCAGAGGTAACATCAGTGGTATTCCTGTTGGCCACAACTTTTAAGATAATCTCAGAATAGATGACCATGTTGATGACCCAGCAGGAAAATATGGAGGGTTGAATGAGTGTAGAGATGTTGTTCTTGAGCCAGGTCCATTTACGACCGCTTACAGCAATGGTCACCGCCTGAAATGTGCTCTGGAGGGAGGTTGTGTACAGAGAAATACTCCGGGTAACTCTGTGAGTGTAGAGAACTACTTTACACCCAGTGTCGCCTATCTCAGGCCTCATTCCAAAGGAACTAATTATACTTGGAACCCCTCTGAATAGGAGGGTCAGGGCGTTAGCCAAAGTTAAGTGGGCAAGGATCCCATCAGCAGGCTTCTTCTTGCGGGGCAGAGAGAAGAAGGTGTGCATGTATAAAGCAAACAGCAAGGAGTTCCCAAGGAAACCAGTACCAGTTTGAATGGAGAGGAGGATCCCAAACAGGGTGTCTCTGGACATCACTGAGTGTCTGTCTCTCTTAGATCTTCCAGCCAAGGACAGCACATCCTGCAGACAAATCATTTGACTATGAATGTAAACATAAAAACAATTAAGGCTGAGAAATAGTTTCAAGTTTCAGGGACATATAAATGTAAAGGGAATGTAATAACAAGCTCTGTGGGGAAGGAAGTCATTTGTCAGAAACATAATTTCAAATTCAGGTATGCAGAATGGATTAGGGTTTGCAAGAGAATTTATCCCATAATATAGTACATTTTTTAAAAAAGATTTTATTAATTTATTTTAGAGAGGGGAAGGGAAGGAGAAAGAGAGGGACAGAGACATCAGTGTGTAGTTGCCTCTCATGCACCCCTTGTTGGGGAACTGGCCTGGAACTCAGGCATGTTGCCTCACTAAGACAGAACTGGTGACCCTTTGGTTTGCAGGCTGGTGTTCAATGAGCTGAACCACACCAGGCAGGGCTAAAAGAGAGTAGACTTAAGGATTAGAAAAAAATGAGGAAGAATAAAGAACAACAATTATACTCCTGAAAATGTGGACATTAGCAAACTTCTTAGAGACGGCAGAAATACTGGCAATAGCAGGAAAAAGGACTGGTATATGCCACAGAAGCAGGAAAATAGGACAATGAAGAAAATGACATATGATTACTGGTAAGGAAAAGGATTACGTGTATATGTAAAAGAAATAAAACACTGTTGAGTATTTAAACTGGGCCCTGAAAACCAGTGAATACAAACCGAACAGAACGTGCAGCCAAGAGAGAGAAGCAAGGATGGCAGACAGAGCCTGCTGAGACGAGCCCTTGTGTGGGGAAGGGCCCTGGAGGGCTGGTCAGATGGGAGCCGGGGTGGATCAGGGCACCAACACCTAATGGGTTTCAGTCTGCAGTCCCGTGTGTGAGTGAAATAATAGACTCAGGAAAAATGTCTCAGTTCTATGTTGGGATATTTTTTGAAATCAAGGTAAAGAAGAAAACTGAAAATAACCATGAACACAAGCAGAAATGTAAGAAAGAGAAAAGAAAACTTTTAAAAAAGGGGATATTGTTTTTAATATACAAGGGGGACTCCCCAAAAAGGTTATTCATAAAAAATGGTGCATTTAATTTTACATGTTTAAAACAAGAAGGAAGAATTAACCAGTAAAAAAGAAAAGAGTAAATGAACAACAAATTCTTGAAGCTGGTATTTCAAAGCAGCCTGATTGTGCATAAGAGCGAATACGAAGAAGGAAGCTGACACAGAGGGACACACAGCTGTAACACTGGGTTCACATTGGGAATGGCGAGAACAAAACCAGGGGCACAAACTCTGGAAAACACTCACCATCCCCTTGCCTCCCCGAGCCTCCAGTCACAGCAGCATCCTCACCACAGCAGGTCTCCAGCAGGCAGCCCTGTGCAGGGGGGTCGCTCTCAGCTGTGCTGCAGGGCAGCAGCAGGAATCCGGGTTATGAGGAGGGGCCTGAGTGACTTCATCTCCCTCTGGGCACCAGCCACTCTGTTATCCAAGCTGGAAATTGCCTTGTGGACAGTGACTCAGCCTGGCATGTCCACAGGAACCTAGCTGCTGTCCCCAGTGCAGTGTGTCCCCTGTTAGGTTATTAGGATCAGCAATTACAACTCTGCCATCTCCTCCTGAGCTGACCCATGGCCTCTGGGTGGAACTAAGTGCTCAATTACTCCTCGGGGTCCCAGAGCAATCACGGGAAGCTCATCAGAAGTTCATGCTCCCTCCCTGCTAACAGTGATGAGTTTCAGTGTAACACTGGCCACAGGGCAGCAGCCCTGAGCTGGGTGCTGACTGGCTGCTCAGGGCTGAATTGCAAGTTTAAGAGATGTTCACACAAAAGAAGCACCTTGCATTGTCTTCTTCCGTGACCAAAGCTGAAGTTTTATTTGAATTCCCAATAAATACTCAATGATATCACTTCAACAACTTAAACAACAGGAAAAATGACCATTTTGTTTAATTTAAGCTTCCATTTTGAAATGATTGTCCATTCACAGGAAAACATGAAGGCAGTACAGAGATCTCCACTGACCCTTCCTCCCCTTCCCCAGTGGTGCATCTTTCATAATCACAGTCCCATGTGATCACGGTGACTGGGAGATGTGTGGCTGTAGCCTCATGTCCTGTCACCACGGGGCACACTCATGTGACAACCACCTCCATCCACACACAGGACTCTTCCATCCCCACCAAGGCTTCTCTCCTGCTGCCTCTTCATGCCCACACCCACCCCACAGGGTCCACTGTGGGGTGGACCTCTGTGCCACGGTCCTCTCCTCCATCTCTGTCATTTTGCCTTTTCAAGAGTGTTATATAGTCATATAATTATGCAGCTTATAATCTTTGCGATCAGCTTTATCATGGGCATTATTCTCTGAACCTCTCCTATTGTCCCATGTATCAATAGCTGGATCATTCCTATTGTCCAGTGAGATTCCTCATGTGGATGCACCACACTCTGCTTAACATTCCCAACTGAAGGACGTTAGAGTTGTCTTGCAGTTTGGGTTGTTAGAAATAAATAAGTGTGTCTATTACATGTACAACTGTGTTCACGATTCGGGGTGAACATAAGTTTTCATCTCTCTGAGATGAATGCCCAGGAGTGCAATGATGAATTGCATGATATGAATTTATTCCATTTTGTACAAAACTGACACCTGTTTCGAGAGTGGCTACATCTCCTCACATTTCTACCAGCCATGTGTGAGAGATCCAGTTTCTGTCCATCCTGTCCCACATTCAGTGTTGTCATTATCTTTGTTAAACTGTGTGCATAACACATGACATGAAATTCACCATCTTAACTGTAAATCCACAGTGCAGTGGGGTTTTCTATACTCACCATGTTGTTCAACAGAGCCTCGCCCTGGCTGGCATAGCTCAGTGGATTGAGCGTGGGCTACAAACCAAAGTGTCACAGGTTCGATTCCCAGTCAGGGTACTTGCCTGGGTTGCAGGCTATGACCCACAGCAACCACACACTGCCGTGTCTATCCCTCTCTCTCTCTTTCTCTATCTCCCTCCCTTCCCTCTCTAAAAATAAATAAATATTTAAAAAACCCCAGAGCCTCAAAACATTCTCATCTTGCAAACTGAAAACTCCTTCCCCATGAAACGAAAACCCTTTCACATTTTTCCCCCATGCAAGGGTGACTACCATTCTCCACTCTGTTGCTATGAACTTGACTTCTTGAGATGCCTCATAGAAGGATACTCACTCAGTGTTTGTCTCTTCATGGCTGGTTGATTGCCCTTAGCTTAATGTCCACACTGTAACATGGGCTAGGATTTCCTTGTTTTAAGGCTGTTCCATTGTATGTGTGTACCACATGTGGTTTCTTCATTCATCCATCCGTAGACACTTGCATGTCTCCTACCTCTTGGCTGTGGAGCGAATAACTTAGGCTTGCAAATACGTATCTCTTCCTGACCTGCTTTCGATGTATTTGAATTATACCTAGAAGTGAAGTTGCCGAATCATGTGGTAGTTCCATTTTTAACTGTTGAGTGATGGTGATACTGTTTTTCATAGTGGTTTTCCCTTTTAGGCATCTCATCCACAGTGCACAGGGGTTCCAGTTTCTCCACATCTTGCCACCACTTGTAATTTTCTCAGTTTTCATAGTAGCCTTCTTTACAGCCCAAACACTTGGGTGGACACTGCAACACTGCCCCTTCACCCCATGCAGTCACAGAGCCACCGTGCTCACTGGTGAGGCCCAAACATGTGGAGTGAAGCCGCGATGCGAGCCCGTCCCACTCCCAGGATCCTCGCACTGCCCACGTGTGATCTGCTCAGTGATCAACATGAGGGCCTGGAGCACTGTCCTGGACAGGAGTCTGTGGGGCAAGACATCCTGAGAGCCTGACAGCCACCCTCGTGACTCAGCCTCCTACAGCCTCCTACAGAAATGCCCCGACCAGCACGTGGCCAAACCACATGAAGCCTTGTTTGACATTTAAGACAGGGACCTCGACTAATACAGAGCCCAGGGGACAATGTGAGGTGGATGTTATTCCTCAACTCCACTAACCCCTTTTGAGCTTGGAGAGGTTAGACCATAGACAAACAAACCCTCCTCCTCCACAAGTGGCAGTCTCTTTTGTGCCCCACCCCTTGGTCCCACACAACCTTTTGGAAGGTCCTCACCTGTTCAGCTCTTTCAGTCCCCTGTGGAGTCACCCTGACCAGCTCCACAGCATGGAGTGGTGAAGTAGCATCTTCCTTCCCACCTCTATTCATTCCCCACACCTTCCTGCTGATGCCTTCAGTGCGTGTAAAGACCATGCAGTCCCCAAAATGGCTTTGGAATGCAGAGAAAGGACAGCAGCCTGGCCTTTTATTATGGTTGGGGTGACAAGGGAGAGTGCTCCTACTGTAGCCATGGTGTTCTCGATCTGAACCCCCTACACACCCAAGGAGGGAGCACTGAGCATTCTCACAAGCTCACCCAGACACAGGCATGAAAGGCAGAGAGAGGTGAGCGTTGAAAGCTGTCACAGTCCAACATCCAATATCCAGTCACTCTTAGGTACAGTGTCTTTCCTCACTCCTTTGTTCTGGGGGCAGGAAAGCAGCCCATGCGATCAGACAGGCATCAGAAACATGGAAAGTTTGGCCCGCTGTTCATGTACATGCTGCAGCCTCCACTGCTCCCGCGAGGGCACTGTTGCCCCCCACCCCGGATTCAACATCCCCTTTTGCCTGTCGGGGACTGCACCTGAGTGTTCTGTCTCCCCACCCACTCCCCGTGTCTTCTCTCTCAATCTGGGTGATGAGCCTCTGGTGTCGGTCAGAAGAGCTGACTGCAAGCCACAGAAAGGACTTCTGACTGCCCAAGCAAGTGGGGACTGGCTGCAGTGGGGAGCGTCCCTCCTGCTCTGTTGAAGGGAGAGCTGGCAGCCCGAAGGACAGGGACGAGTCTGATTTGGGAACTGTGGGTGCCGCCAACTCGGTCTTTTATCTCTGCCTTTGGTCACCAGATGTGTCTGCTCCAGATTCAAGTCCTG